TCTAGGGTCCTCATCTGTGTAGAAAGAGGCAGGATTAGATCAACTCTAAGATCTCTTCTTGTTCTAGGCTCTTGAATGTTGCTGAGTTTGTAAATAACAGTCCTTAGCAGCTCAATTCAGGATCTGACAAGTTATATGCTGGGAAGTTGTTTCTTTACATAAAAACCTATGATTTCTACCTCAGGAGCCAAAGAACCAGTGAGAACCTTAAAGGCAGGTCACCAACTTTTGAAGTCTCAGCCCTTAACACGGAAGTATGAAGTAAAACCTCAATAAATATTTGTTGAGTGCTTTGGATGGATGGATGGACGGACGGACGGATAGACGGATGGATGGATGAATTTCAAGGGCCAGCAAAAATAGAAACTGCTCCTCCTCCACTGAGCAAAGTTTAATGCAAGGCGAAAATGCTACCAACTTAAAATATTAGTGACATTTACTTTGACAGCTGAACTAAAACCAAAATATCAGATGAATAGTTACTACCAGTCATTCAAAAGGTTGCCCAACTCTGAAAGCCACCTTTGGGCTTTGGTAGAAGAGTGCACTTTGGTTCACGAAGGGTGCACATGTGGCACAGGGGGTGCCACAGGCTGCTGGAGGAATGCATAAACCCGAAGGACATGTCATTCAACCTCTATGGCAGAGGTGGCCCAGAAGCATGTCATTATGAAAGGTAAAACACCAGAGCCTCCTCAGTTGTGGCTGCCCAAGAGTGCCCAGCTGAGGAGGGGAAGTCTAAAATCCAACAGGTGGTCTGTTTACCTGTGAGGCCAAACCCACCCTGGAGCCCCACAGGTGGGCAGCAGCCCTGATGGCTGACCTCAGCAGCAGATAGAATGGTCTTCTAGCGACTTCAGTGATAAAGAAAATAATAATAATGCATACACACATATACACTACACACATATGCACCTAATGGGCTCTATGTGCCCTGGCCGGTTTGGCTCGGCGGTGGAGCGTCGGCCTGCGGTCCAGGGAGGCTTGTGTTTGGTTCCCGCTAGGGACGTGTGCCTCGGTTGCAGTTTGTCCCTGGCCCTGGTTGAGTCGTGAGGGTGTCAACCACTTAATGTGTCCCTTTCGTGTCGATGTTTCTCTTTCTCTCTCTCTCTCTTTCTCTCTCTCTCTCTTTATTCTATCTGAACAAAAAATGGGGAAAAAAAAAAAATGAGCTCTATGTGTCAGATGCTTTGCTTAACTTTTTATATATGTTATTGTATTTAATCTTAACTATCCCAAGAGGTAGGTGCTATTATTTGAAGGCACAGGCTCAGGAGTCAGACGGCCTGGGTTCAAATCCTAAGTCCCACTTATAAGCTGGATGCCCTTGGGCAGGGTTACTGAAGCTCTCTGGGCTTCAAGATTCTCATATGTAAAATGGAAATAATCACAGTGCCCATCTCATAGAGCTGCTGTGTGGTATACATGAGTTAATATGTGTAAAATGCTTAAATCAGGAGCTGGCACCAAGTAAGCCCTTAGTAAGTGTTGGATTGAAAAAGTCAGTGGCTTGCCCATTGTCTCACCCCTGGTGAGGGGCAGAACCAGGGCACAGACACAGGTATGACTTCACAGCACACATGACCCAACACAGCTGATTCTAGCTGTGCAGCCCCCATACCTCACCCCATCCACACCACCGCCCTCATGGCAATGTGGCCTAGTCTTTCTTGGTACCAACAAGGTACCAAAAGAAAGACACTAAAAAGGGGGGCGGGCATTCTAACTCATTTGAATTCTGATTTGGCTACTATGTGCAGAAAAAAACAAATGTGTCTTGGTATGGGGATCTGCCCCTCACCGAAGAGAAAACAGCCCTTTTCCAGGATGAGGAGCACCTCAGCCTCCGGGCCTTTTTACAAGAGGTCTCTTGTGCTCTCTCTCCTTGAGACCCTGAGAGGAAGGCAAAGCTTGAATTGCCCAATAAACCTGACCTTCAGTTAAGGATCTCTGAATACAGAAAATGGGCATGATTGCTGGTGGAGAGGGAGAAACAACACAAGGGCCAAACCAGCAAGAGAGTCTCATGAGCTAAGATGACCACTCTGTCCCGGGTCCTGCCCTGCTGCCTGGAAGGTACTAGGAAGAGCCAGCACTTTGCTAGAAAAAACACATGCAACATAGCAAGCCAAACCATCTGTGATTCAGGGTGATCTGGAAGTGGGACGCGTTAACTCAAAGAAAACAACCTGTGGTCGTGGTCAGTGAACACTACTGGTAAATTTGCTATATGCCAGGACCTGTTCAAAGCCCTTTAGAAATATTAATATTCCACTTATTCCTCAAGTCAATGGTATGACATAAGCAGTGTTTATTGGCTTCATTTTACAGATGAGGAACCTGAGACAGAAAATTCAAGTAACTTCTCCCAAGGTCACACAAGCAGTCTAGCTTCAGAGCCCATGGTCTTTATCAGAGTTTTCAAAGCTTTTTGTCCAACCTACACCAAAAAATACATTCTACATCAGGACCCAGTATACACATTTATACATTATTGAAACAAAGTTTTTATTATTATTATTATTTTTGGTAAGTGCCCTAGCAGGAACCGACTCTCTGGTCCACAGGCTGATGCTCCAACCGCTGAGCCAAACCAGCCAGGGCTAAAACAAAGTTTTTAAACAATACTCACCATTACCATGTGCAATGCACACTGATGTTTTCTTTTCTATTCTGTCCCATGAAAAAATATATATATCATTCAACAAATATGAATGGAACACTTAACGTGTTAGATACCAGTCTAGGCTTTGGGGCAATGTCAATGAATAAGGGAGATAAAAACCCTTGCCCTCTTGGAGCTTGCATTTTACTGGAGAGAAAGACGAATAAGATCCTCATGCAAAACTGTAGCATCCGAGGTGGTAATCTAGTGAGCAAGGTGGAGAAAAATAAAGCAGGGATGGCCAAGGGTGACCAAGGAAGGCCTGGCAATGCTTTCATTCCTCACCACATGATTTCAGTGGGCTGTCGCCACCAGCGTGCAAACCCCTGCCCTTAATCCCTCCACTCTATGCTCTCATATGCCTGAAGTCTCTCCTAGATTGTGTGCCAGCGAGCGACATGTATGCAACCTTTGTACATAAGTATATAAGTGTATGGATGTGTGTGCACACATGTATGAATGTGCATGTCCACCCCATTCACTTCCTCATTAGGGAGGTTTTGGAGACAGGAGGCAGGGCCCCCACATGCAGCTTGTGCAGGGGTTCCCTGCAAAGCTTGCCTTGCAGAAAGGTCCTGGAATGAGGCCTGAACTACAGCCCAGGCACCCATAGCCAAAGCCATGAGTGCCAGGCATGTGCCCTGGCTAGAGTCTTCAGTCCAGAGGAAGGAGAATCTTTCTTATCACTGATCCACCCAGAGGAGACACCTTTAGTAACAGCAGACCAGAGGGAACACTAGTTCCTAATCTGCATCAAGGTAACCCTTAAGAAAAGAAGAGACAGCTTGCAGAAACAAAAGTCACTCCCTGGGGAAAACCCAGTGCACTGGGCACACCTGGCAGGGTGACTGATGCGAGTCTGAGGGGAGATGGGACTGGAGCCAGCTCTGAAGCAGCGCTGGACCACTTGGATAGCCTCCACTGAAGGCATTTGAAACTTGGCACTAGAGTGCAATCTACAGACCCTTCCTTTAAATTAAAGGGGCACATAAAAAAATGTTACTAGCCGGGACAGCAAAAGCACGACCTATGGGAAAAGCAGCCAATCTCTGCTAATGAATAAGTGTAATTGATCACAACAGATGACTTGATGGACCTTCCAAATGTGCTTTTAGCAAAGTAGGCAGTTTTTCATTCAAATGCAAACTTGCCCAGATTAGATCTAATAATGGAAATTTTGGAACAATCCCAGCATCGATGATATATATTTTTTCTTCCTCCACTTAGCAGAAAGGCAACTGAAGTTCCTGATCACAGCTTGAGCCAGGCAGACACCAATTTATACTTTCCCTATGCCTGAGGAGACCCTGACAGTCCCAGGGGTAGCAAAAAAACAGTCACAGGCCACTCAGAATCCCCGTCCTTTCCTCCTCTCCGACCTATGAGGAGCTGTGTGGCTGGGAGACATTTATTCAACAAATATTTTTGAGCACTTACTATGTATGTGCAAGGCACCATTCTCACCATCACAAGTGATTGCAAAATGGCTAAGACCATTCTGTCCTCAAAAGAGAGCGCAGATGTGAAGGGAAACAACAAATGACAGGAGGGCCAAGTGGAGGTATCAGCTCCTTCCAACCAAGCACTTAATCTTTCTGAGCTTTAGTTTCCTCCTTTATCAAATGAAGACACTGCACTAGACATGCTCTCTGGGCACTAAGCCAGCTTGAAGACTATGATGCTAAGCCCTTCCCTTCCCACTCAGGCTCCCAGGGTCCTAGTAAGATGACAGATCAAGTGCAGCCTTCTAGGAAGGGGGACAGTCAGCAAAGGCAGGGGACAGTACCTTTCCCAGAGTGACAGCCTATTTCAATTTGGCCCTAACACAGAAACAGGCCGGAGAAGATGAGAGATAATTTCAGAAAATTAAGTGGAAGATTTGGACTTCCACATCAAGGAATCTGGGGGAAACGAGAGTCACTGGAGTTTGTTCAGAGGATACTACTATCCGTGTGCTGCAAAGGAATCTGGCTAACCTGTGGAGGATGAGTTGGAAGGGGTGAGAATGGATGATGTTGCAATAGTCAGAGCAGAAGAGCTGAGGCCTAAGTGACAGATTCCTCCCATGGTCTGGCCAAGCACAACATTCCATCACCCCCTGCCCTCGCCATAATGCTTATTTTCATGAACCCAAGCCGAAATCACTTTGCACTACGTGGTGTTTTGTTTTGAGTTCCACAAGTGACTTTAAGGTAAACAGGTCAATCTTACCTCCCTTCTTCCCGGGGCCTGAGGTTAAGCAGGATCAACAAGATGTGCCTGGGATGGGGTGCAGGAGGTGATCAGCAGCCCCCCGGGGGTGCGCGGAGCGGGGATCTAGAGAGGGTGTGCCTACCTGCAGAAGAGCCGTCTTCGTGATCCGAGCTGTTGCGGCTGCAGTCACTGCCCCTCTCCGGCGAGCTGTGGCTGGGCGAGTCCCGCTCGGGCACCCGCAGGAACCTCTTGCGCCGCCACGGAGGAAGGTGCTCTCGGGCCCCGCGCCGGGGGACCTCATCTGCAGCTACGGGCGAGCCCCGCCCGTCCTTGGCCTCCGACTCCAGCTGCTCCAGGTCGCGGCTCCGGCGCTGCTGCCGCCGGGCCCCGGGGATCAGGTGCATCCAGCGATGGGGGCTGCTCGCCCGTGACGGCTTTTCGGCCTCATCGCGGGTCCCGAGCCGGCAGGGGCCCACAAGCAAGTGGCCTAGGACGAATTTCTCGTTCAAATCCACCATCTCGAAGTCGTGGTCACTGCTGTCGCCCCCATCGTCCGCGCCCGAGGCGTCCGGCTCGCCCTCCTCTGAGCCCCGCCCCGCCCGAGTCCCCGAGGACAGCTCCTCTCCCGGGGCTCTGGGAACTGCTCCATCGTGGCCGGGGGGCGCACAGTTCTCCCGGGGCCTGAAGAGGAGGCGAGGCTGCAGCAGCTGCTGGTGGATGGCGGCGGTCAAGCTGCGCACCGTACTCCCGGCCCCCGCCGCCACAGGCCAGGTGGGAAGGTCCAGGCACACGTACGGAGGAGTCTCGGCCTTGGCGGCCACCTCTGGGTCAGGGCGTGCGGGTCCCAGCGGGTCTCCGCCGCCGCCCGCGGCGCCCTCCTCCTCGCGCGGCGACGGCGCCCGCTCTGGCCCGGCCGGCGCCGGCGCCCCCGCCGAAGCTCCCCCGCTGCCGCCGTCTCCGCCCCCCGGGCGCCCGCAGCCCAGGTCCCGCTTCTCCCCGGCCAGGGCCGACTGCAGGTAGAAGACTTTAAACTTCTCCTCCGCCAACACCTGTTGCAGCCGCTTCAGGTTGAGTTTGCAGCGCTCCAGCTCCTGCTCCATGTCCAGCACCGAGTCCAGCCGCATGACGGGCGCCTCCTGCCCGGGGAACTCGGCCTGCCAGTGGCGCTCGAAGTCCTGAGGGTCCCACATACTGGGCGCCCCCTGGGCCTCCGGGGCCAGCTCCCCGGCGCGCAGCGGCTGGCTCGCGCCCGGCGCTCTCCCGAAGCCCGCGCTGGCGCAGGCGCCTGCCCTTCACTTCAGCCCCAGGAGAATGAGAGAAAAAATAAAGTTTTTCCCCTTCCGCCCTCGTACCGCTTTTTTTTTTTTTTCCCCTTCTTTTGGTTTTCGCCACCCTGACGTAAGCGTCTACCCGCGGCGGAGGCGGGCGCCTGGGGGCTCGGGGCCCGCCCGGGGCCGGACGCGCGGGGCCGGCGGTCTGCAGTTCCAGCCAGGGGCCGGGAGCCCGGCGGGCGCGGGCGTCCGGGGCGCCGCGGCGGGGGCGGAGCTCGTGGCGCGGGGCCAGGCCTGCAGGCGCGCCTCGGAGCTGCGCCGGCGGTCGGAGGGCTGGGCGAGGGCCGTGGCGGGGCGGGCCTTCCTGCGGTCCGCCCGGAGGCGCCGGCGACCCCGGGAGCTGGCCGCCGCGGGCCCGGCTTTGCCCCTCCCCGGCCAGTCGGGCTGCGCAGCTCCCGCCGCCGCGCGGGCTCGCGGGACCGCGCGGCCGGGGGAGGCGGGAGTCCCGAGAGGGAGCGCGTGGGGGCGCCTGGGCCCCTAGCCGACCTTCCGCCACCCGGCTCTCCGCTGCCTAGTCCGCCCAGGGTCAGGGCGACGCCTCGGACCGAGGAAAAGGTCACGGACAGGCGATGTGACGCGGCAGGTGTCGAAGGGAGCGGTCTCCTGACCGCGGAGCTGTTCTTCGCCGGGATTTTTTGAGCGCCTTGAACTAACTTGATCAAAATCACAGAGCTTTTTAATCCCAAACTGCGATACAATTTAAGTGTGTGTGTGTCGTCCCCCCCACCCACACCCCCAGTCACTTTACACTGTTCTCTCCACTGCTCTCCAGAGTTTGGGGGGAAGAGAGAGGCAAGGGTGGCCGCTGTGACTTCAAAGCTAGGGGTACTCCCCTGTGACTGAATCAGACCATGACTGCAGGGGCCTTAGACACCTCAGACTCCTCTTTGTGGCCTCACCAATTCCCCGAGGGAGGAAGAGAAAGGAGAAGCTTGGGACAAGCGTCTGGTGGCCAGGGACTCAGCTTCGCCCTCCCCTCTACACCGAGCTGGGTCTCTCCCGTCTGCAGAGAGGTGCTGACAAATTGTCTTGTGCTGGCGTCAAGGGGATCTTATCCATGATTCACATTTCTTTCATTTTAAGGATGAGGAAATGGATGTTCTAAGAGACTTAAGGAACTTGACAACTGCACATTTCTTCCTGCCCTCAAAGCCCGGTGGGGACTGTAGCTAAACTCCCAGACCTGTTCTCTCCAGTGCCTGCCAGTCACCTCTCTCACCTGAAGCAATCTGAACAGACCCACCTCCTCCGGCTTGCTTTTCAGTCCCTGTCAACCCACCCCTCAAGGCTTGGTAATTGGAAACACACCAGGAAGATCATTCTTACCCACAGATGAGATAGCACCCTGCTTTTGCTCAGAACCCTTCAGTGTCCCCTCATCACCTACAGGATGGAGTCCAGACTCCACATGACACAGGAGGTCCTCCCACATTTGGTAGCTACCCACTTCTCTGCTTTCCACCTGTGCTTTAGCTGTATCAACTCCATGCTGTACCCAAAGTCTTCTCACTGTTTATGGGTGCCTTTCCTCTTCCTTGGAACTCCTGTCCCTACACGTGGGCACAACTCCCTGCTGCCTGGGGGACTCCAACCCTCCTTTAAGACCCAGCTAAAGGATCCCCACCACGGGGAAGCCTTTTCTGGCCTCTCCTCCTCTTGGACTCCCCACTCCATCTTGGACATGTCTTTATTTTTGCCCCGATCCACTTTATTATAATAATTTGTGACATCTCCTTTCCCTTACTTTCAGAACCCCCAAAGGCAAGGATTGTGTCTTTTCTTTCTTTTTTTTTTTAATCCTCACCCGAGGACATTTTTCCTTTTTTGTTGTTGTTGTTGTTCAGATAGAGCGGGAGGGAGAGAGAGGAAGAGAGAGGGAGAGAGAAACATTGATGAGAAGGGACACATCGAGTGGCTGCCACCCGCACGACCAACCAGGGCCGGGGACAAACTGCAACCGAGGTACGTGCCCTTAGCGGGAACCAAACCCGGCTCTCTCTGTACCGCAGGCCGATGCTCCAACCGCTGAGCCAAACCGGCCAGGGCAAGGATTGTGTCTTTTCCACTGTTGTGTTCTTGCTGCTGCTTGCAGGGTGTGATAGAGATCATTGATCATTGTTGAATGGAGATGAATGAACGAATGAATAAATGAACAGACAGATGAAGGAATACCCACTTTTTGGTTCCCACTTGGCTTCTACAGTTATGAATCATTCCAGACCAGGAGCAGATGTGCCTCCCACAGTGGCTTCTCAACCCTGGAGTTTCCTTTCTTGACAAAGTCTGTGTTTACTCATTTTCCCAATATCCCTTCTTCCTTTTTTTTTTTAATTTGGTGTGCCACTGGCATGACTCATCACAGTGTGTGTCTTTGTACCTGACTGCTATGGGGGAATGGATATGTTTTAAAATACATTAATTAAGGATTCCCCAGTTTGTGTGATTTCTCAATTCTTTACCTAGTTCCTCAAGTGTTCTCTCTCGCCTTAGCTTTATATTTTGAAGAGATTGTCCCTACGTTCCTAGAAGCCACACAATCTCCTTGGTCCACTAGGAAGAACTGAGGGGCTCCCAAGGCCTACAGCTGCTAGTGCAGGAGTATTTTATCAGGTGAAATCCACAAGCATCTTGGCCTCTGTTAAGATTTCAGAATGAGAAAGGTAGCACAGCAGGGATGGATGACCCGTCAACAGCATATTGATCGGAAGATGCTTCAATATGTATATTTAGGTACATAAGGAAAACAACAACAACAAAAAATAGGATGTTACTATAAGCATCAATTTCTGAATTTGTGGGTTCCCTGGGAGGATAGTTTCAACTCTGTCCTTTAATTAAAGCAGCAGTATGATTCCCTTTTGGTAGAAGGAAGTTGTTACCAATACCACTAATTTTTTCCATGAGGACCAATATAGCTGGAAATGCCAGCATACATCTTCTGTAACCAGATCCCAGGAGCAAGCTTCTTTGTCTCTAGCTGGTGGATAGTTCAGCTTTATTACTTGGCTTTGGGTCATCATGGGGGCAGGGGTAGAGTGGCTGACATTTATTGAGTCCACACTTCTAGTTGTCATATATCTTTGGTCTCATCTAATTCTTCACAACAACCCTGTAAAGGACATAATATTGTTGCCACTTCAGAGGGAGAGAAAAATGGACGATTAAGGAGGTTAAAGGTCACACAGCCAATCTGCTGGATTCTAAAGTCCGGTAGCTTTGCAAGGACTTGGCCCAGGCACGACTGTCATTAGCATGCTTTTTTTGTTTTCAATAAATATTTGTTGAGCACCTACTAGGTGCCAGGACCTGGCATTTAAAGTTTAAAATTTGTAGCCCTTGCCGGTAGGGACCGAAGGGTGGCGGGTTTCATTCATTCCTGGTCAAGGGCAGGTACCTGGGTTGCAGATTTGATCCCCAGCCCCAGTCAGGGCGCCTGCAGGAGGCAACCGATCGATGTCTCTCTCACATTGATGATCCTCTTTCTTTCCCTCTCCCTCTCCTTCTCTCTCTTTCCCCTTCCCCACTCCTTTCCACACTGTCTAAAAATCGGAAAAAAATATCCTAGGGTGAGGATTAGCAGCAACAAAAAAGTTTAAACTTTGTTATTATTATTATCCTCACCCGAGGACACTTTTGCATTCATCCTCAGATAGAGCGAGAGGGAGAGAGGGAGGAAGAGAGAGAGAGAGAAACATCGACTGGCTGCCACCCACACGAACCCAACCAGGACCGGGGACAAACTGCAACCGAGGTCCAGGGCCTTAGTGAGAACCGAACCGGGTCTCTCTGGACTGTGGGCCAACGCTCTAACCGCTGAGCAAAACTGGCCAGGGCAAAGAAAAGGTTTAAACTTTGTAACCTGGCAAATCAGACTCTTCACAATGGATCCCCTGACCTCAACCTTTTTACCAAGCTCATTTCCTTAATTTATTCTGCTTGCTGAACACATTCAGCCCCCTAATCTGAGTCACCCTCTGAGCAGATGCCTTTTGTGTTCCATGCCACCTCCCTTTGGCTCATCTTGAATTTCTCCTGCAGCTGCAGTGGACAGTTTCCATGGGCCGTTAGGGACTCATTTCAAGCACACACCACTACGACTCATGAACTCTCAACTTGACTGCCATAGGGTTTTTCTCAAAGTCACAAAGTTCTCAAGGGTATCCCAGATGGAGGCTTCTATAGGGGAGGTCATTCCCTAGGGCATTTCATGGCCAGTGGAACCCGGAGTTGGTTGATAAGTGCCTCAGGCGCCTGACTTGGGAAGGCATTTCTGAGGGGTACTGCATGGTTGCTCAGTGGTCTCCAACAGGAATGAGCCCAGTTGTTCTTAGTGGTAACCAACCCAGAATGAGCTCTCTATTGGCTTTCCCTTCTTCTCTGTCTCCCTCACTCCTGCTTCCTGGGATAATCTACCAACTGAAATATATGCACCAGCCCGGCCTGTGTGGCTCACTGGTTGAGCATTGACCCTGCATCGAGAGGTCGCCGGTTTGATTCCCAGTCCAGGCACATGCCCAGTTTGTGGGCCCGGTCCCTAGGGGGCATGCAGGAGGCGGCCAGTCAATGTTCTCTTTCATCGATGTTTTTCTCCCCCTCTCTCTCAAATCAATAAAGAAAAAAAATTTAAAAAGTAAAATAAAATATATGCACCAGGTCCTTGTGTCAGTCAGTTCCTGCTTCCCCCCTCTGGCTCCTTCACCAGGACATCCTCTAGCCTCTCTATGCCCCCTGTGATAAAGACACACAAGGTGCTTCACCGTTTCCCCCGGTTACTCCTTGGTCTCTCTGTCTTCCTTTGCCATGCTGCTTCCTACTTTACCTGGTGAGATCCTTTTTTTGCCTGTGAAAGACCAGCTCAC